GATAGGATATTCAATTCTAAGACAAAAGTTTCCTATAAACATGTATCGAAAAATGCTTGGTAAGGGAGCTACACCCCCTGGAAGGGGGCTAATATGTTTTTGCTAATATTTCAGAAACCATTTAAGATAAAATTACAAAATTTGGTACAGATGATAACCTTTATACACCTAAATGAATTCAAACATCAAATGTCGAAATTTTTAATCAGGGGCGTACGAAATTGGGGGAGTTTAAGGTAAAAAAATACCGTATTTATTTTGGCTTTAGTTTCTCGGTACTTTCAGAAACAAAATCTTAAGTTCGATAGTTTATCACAGAAAAATCTCTCTTGTGTCGATACGACTTATTGTTTTTGAATAAAATCAATTTAAAATTTATGTTACAGACCAATACAACATTCAAATAAATCAGAATTTACAGAATAATAAAAGCAAGCCATTCATATTTGTTAATCAACCTCAACTAATTATCATTACATTACAGTAACAATAATAACATTAATTAAATGAATTTGCCTAAATCTAAAGGAGTTGTTCAAAGTGACCACCATTTTGATCAATGCATAAGTAAAGAAATTAAAGCCAAAAAAATAGATAGGGTATTTTTTTTATCCTAAACCCCACCAGTTTCGGATGCCCCTGATTAAAGATTTCGACATTTGATGTTTGAATTCGTTTAGGTGTATAAAGGTTATCATCTGTAGCAAATTTTGTAATTTTATCTTAAATGGTTTCTGAAATATTAGCAAAAACCTATTAGCCCCCTTTTAGGGGGTGTAGCTTCCTTACCAAGCATTTTTTGATACATGTTTATAGGAAACTTTTGGCTTCCAATTAAATATCCTATCACCTGTTTAAATTTGTAACAATAAAAACGAAACACCCTGTATATTTTTTAGATCAGAAAAAAAATAAGCTTTTCAAAATTGCCATAGCCGCCTATGATTTCTATTTTAAAAAATACAAGTTTATCTTATTACGGCTAAACTAACAACTGAAAAAAAAACTACATTATTAAAATCCTCGTAGAAAAGTGTCTTTATTAATGTCTTTATTTCAAATCCGTATCTTCTATAATAACGAAGATATGATTTTTTTTAGATTTCGCCAAAATGTCAACTTTTGTCTGTAAGTCGAAAACAAAAGACGATAGCGGGATGCGGTTTTAACCAATATTATTTTCTCAAAAAATGAGCCCCAGAATGTATCACTCGTTTTTGGCTAAACATCTTAGTTTCGGAGCTTTCCTATTCGGACATCCAAAATGCAGCACCCTGTACACTTACTCGACGTGGAGTTGGAGCGCAAACTGTTGAGTTCTTCGACACGCAGAGTCCCCGGTTGCTTACGATCGATCAAAAAGTAAGTTGTCATGTCGCCTTTGCCTTTAACTTTGACTTTTCCTCGGCACTGAAATTCGTAAGGGTAGGATTTAAGCACTTGGTAAACTTCTTCAGTGACTTGGGTGTGATTTGGCAACCCTGTGGAATCCATACGACTGGCAACGTTAACTGTGTTGCCCCAAATGTCATACTGGGGCTTCCGGGCACCTATCACGCCGGCAACTACAGGGCCTATATTGATTCCTGAAAATTTACGAGGTGTAGCATAAAAGTTAACCGATGGTGGGTTATAACTCACCTACTCGCAACATGAAATTGTTGTAAGAATTTTCGTTTATGTTGAGGAGACGGTCCCTCATCGCGAATACAAACTCGACAAGTGTGCTAAGGTGAATTCCAGCGGTGGTTTCATCGTCGTCTAAAATTCGCAAATCTGGCATTAAACCAACAGCAGCCATGTATGTGGAGCCCACAGTTTTGATCTTATCAATGGCTTTGAACCGTTCTTCACCCAGTAGGTCATCAAAGTCGGCTATAATCTCATTYAGGAGTCTTAAACATTCAACACCTTGATTGTTTCCATCTAATTCGGTGTAGAATTCGTGATAATTAGTGATGGAAGCAAAAACAACACCGACTCTTGAATAACTTTGATGGTACAGTTCCTGTGATAGAGTATTCTGTAAGAGAACGCTCTTCTATGTTACCCTTTTTGTGCAGACAACATCAAAAAATAAATAAATTCCACAAAACATAAATGTTGCCAGCACGTGAAGACTAAATACCCACTTACCATATTATTCCTGAATTGATTATCCAGAAAATGCGTAGCGACATGAGCTGGCAATAAGTTGAACAAAATTCGCTTATTCGAATGTTGGAGTGCATCCATTTCGCGTTTCTCCTCATTGGCTWGGACTTGCCATAGAAAATCCAGACGAGCAGTCCATTCGACTTGGCGGCCGTGCAGAAGCACAGCCAGGACGAACATAAGGACTTGTACAACGCTTAGAACATCGGCCGGAATGATTAATCCCACCTGACTGCAAAAATCTCATCATTCAACAAAAATTCCACCAAGTTTTCTCACAACTTACTTCACTCGTTTGTCGTAACAGGTGAAGAGGCGTGTGTGTGATAGTGTTATCAGGAGAATGTACACCGTTGACATGATCACAAGTAAAACGGCTTTCAATAAAATCGGAAGTCTGAGGAAAATTGCAACGGCCAAATATCCCAAAGCACACGATAGAACTATGTACTGAGGCAATGGACAAGCGCGATGATCCGCCTCTTTGAAACCGCCGTCGAGAGTCACGTTCGCTGTTGTAGGCACACATTTCGACTCGTCGGGTGGACGACAAGTAAACTAAAAATCGGGTTTCAAGAGGAGTTTTATGTATTGGGTGACAAGTTCACAAATAAGACCTATAAGATTTAACAAAGTTGAAGAAAAGTTTCTAAAAGTCAAATTGTGAAAGTTAGAAACCCATTAAAATTTTTCAAAAAGCGATTCCACTTTAAAAGCCTTGCAAATACTTCTCGAGAATCCACATAAATGTTATCTTAATCATTATTTAAAACGCATTTCAGCTCCAGTGGGGCTTGGAACCCAAAATTCTAATATCTATCTAAAAACAAAATTATTGTCTTCCTAATTTCCAAAAATTAAGGTTGATTTTGCGTATCTTATTCTCAGAGAGAAAAAAAGATCAAGAATCGTACTCCAGTTTTCAAGATGGTATTAATAATTTTAATTGAACGAGTTTGCATTTTTAGTTAAAAACAAAATTACAAATGATCAAAATTTAATCCACAGTTCCAAAAATTGTCGTAATTGCTATTAATTAAATTTTTAAAACCCAGTGACTTAAGATTTTTGTGGGCCATATCATTTTTGTAATTGTTTACACAAAAAAATCATTCAAGACGTGTTTGATAGAAAGCTAGCAATTTTTGAAAAAAAGTACATATGTTTTGTAAATACTAGGTCTGCAAACGTTTAATTTATGTTTGTATTAGGAATGCAAAAACTTGATGTAAATTTTAAACAACTCGTGCCCCAGAGAAAAATGCCATCATATAAGGTAAGATACCAGGAACATGGAAAAAATGTTAAAAAAAAATTATCTAAAAAAATTTCGACGTTATGAGGGTTTAAAGTTTACACTTTGACTCTATTTATTTCTGTTGGAAAAAAAATTTTCCAAGTTTTTTTGCTATAGGCTATTAAAAGAGGAAACAAGAAAGCTGTATCCTAAATTGTAACTCTGTTCAATGTTATTTATGGCTTTTAGTGGCAAAATTTTTGTCCCTTTACTAAATAATTGTAAAAAACATATACAAGATCATCAGTATCATTAAATAGATATAAAAAATGTCAAATGTCAAAAAATAAATGTCAAAAAAAAATTTTTGACAGATAGAATTTTTTAAACATTTTTTTCATGTTCCTGGTATCTTACCTTACTTGAAAATTTTCTCTGGGGCGCGAGTTCTGGCGACCCTGTATGTAGAAGCCAAGTAAATTTCAAAATTAAGAAAAACAAAGTAGTTTGTAAACACAGGGTTTTAAAAAAAGATTGTAAAATATTTAAGGAGGTAATAGTATGGACCAAGACAAACAAAAAAGTCTTAATAAAACAAAGGTTACGGAAATATGAATATGAAAATTTTTAGAATTACCACTATATAAGCTTCTCTTTTTTGTTTGAACAGACTGAAATTAAATTTTTCAAAAAATAAATAATCTTCGATATCTCCGAAACCGTTACTTTGCAAACCTATTTTTATTATTATTTTTATTTTGCGTTAGTAACAATAAACAAAATACTTACCGACGAGTTTGGGATTGCAACGAGTAAATACAACTTACTATCATGGAAACAGACGTAGTAAACAATCGAATAGAGTCTAATCGCGCCCAAAAAAATTACAATCTTTTTTTAACACCCTGTATATTCCTTTCATAGCTTTCAAACTAAACAAAGATTTTCGGTATTTATGGATTTAAACTCGTTGAATCGTTTGGTATAGATAGTCGTTGATCAAAAGTTACAGTTAATTCCGGTTTACTGGWTAACTCAAAAAATTATTGACCAAAAAACGACCAAAAAAGTTTAAACCCAGAACAAGTTTTCTGATGGTAAATCTAGCGATTTAGGCGATTATAAAGCATTAAAAAAAAGCAAAAGAGGCACAAAAACTAATTTTTAATTAAGCCTCGCATAGAKTTATGCGTATTTGGGTTTTTAAAATTTCAGAAAGTAAACTCAATTGGGACCACAAAATTTTTCTACAAATTCTTTAAAATGATTTCCAATTTTTTTATTCTATACTCGCTGTTTAAAAGAATTGACTAAATTGAGAGAACGTGCTGCTAGATTTTATGGGGAAACTGGGATATAAAGAGAAATTGATAGTTTTGAAGTTTTTCTTACTGGATCGTAGGGAAAATTATATGTATTACACTGGAGGAAAGTATCTTTTCCTCCCTGAGTGGTTACTGCTCTCGACAAGTCTCGGGCAGTAACTTCRACCTGTGAAAGAGAAAAATTCTACACTTCCCTRCCTTGAAATACAAATAACTATTATAATTTAGTTCAATAATAATTTTTTGACGTCCCATAACTCGAAAATAAAACTTTAAATTGTWATATTRTCTGCACAAAAAATTGTGATTTTAAAATAACAYAAATAAAATGAATACATTTTTATAGATTTCGCAGCAAAATAGTAAAAAATGCGAYAAAAAAAWTTTCAAATTTATCCAGCAATGATTTTCSASATTTTTTGGGTCATATTTTAGTTGGGTTGTGGTGTTGKAAATTAACCTAAAAAAATTGTCTTGAATTGTGAAGACATTTAAAGGTTGATCCAAAAACACTTTTTGAAAAATTGTAATTTGTGCATTTTAAGTAACTAAGGCCTATTTTTGAACTTGATGTTTTTTTTTGCACTTACCACATTAACTTGAGCTACCGTATATATTAAAACTATCGTAAAAACGGTGATGGCCAGTCTTAGTACGAAACTGTGCGAGATATCCCATAGAATCCACCGCAATCGGACGGCAAGTAGCAACATAAGAACGACCGAAATCCACACAAACGCCGTGAGAAAAAGTAAGAGTAGAATAATCGTTCGCGGCAAAACTGTCACTTGAAGCACCCCAAGAAGGACTAATAAGACCAAAGCGCACACAAGTGACGAGCTATATCCCACATCCAAATCATCATGATACTAAAACAAAGACGACACCCTCTCAATTGGTTTGGGAGCGATAAATCCAACTTTGTCTCTAACTTTATTAAAACTTAAACTGACCTGGTTTTCCTTGCTGCTGTCTTTAAAGCACAGAGTAAATAAGTTAACATGGGTWGACTTTTCCCTGTCAACACTCCTCGCATCAATCGCTTGCGCCAAYTACTTATTAACCCTYTTCGAGGGCTGGTGGTAGACGCTGGAGTGCCTCTTTTTAAACGGCCTTTTGAATTTTTCCGTCACTTTATTCTAAAAAAACGAGAAATTAAATCCTAGCTTCCGCACGGATGGAAATCGATGTTAATGAAGCTGCAAGCTCTAATGTTGGTTGCGTGTTGTGTAAGTGGAAATAAAATCTAAGAAGCGGATTCGCGAGACTGTGGGTGTRTGTTAGTTGTTGTGGCAAACCTGASGTCTAGTGTATTTGTTATTAACACGTCAACTAAACACAGTTGTTTCTTGAAAAAAGGCACTGAGTCTCCGGAAGTGGAGGAACACAAAAAATCCAAAAACATCAAGTACAAAGGTTAGTATCAAGATGAAGAAGTTAATTCAGACAGAGATGCACACCCCGAGACAAAATAAACAAGTCCACCATCAAAAAATTAATTAATGTTTACTCATGTTTACATACTAAAAAACAGTTAAAATTAGATTTAGAAAAAAAAACAATTGTTTCCATTTCGCAAATATCTGCTGGGTTATTTTTCACTAAAACCATTATTAGTCGCAGCATTCGAAAATATCTTATTTTCCATGATTACGTTAATGGCTTTCAAACTAACCYATTTTTRCCTGATTTCTCAACCATGTTCTAACTCGTTAAATCATCTAGCAAACTCGTAGATGCAAGTCGCAAAATTATAATTTACAGGATCAGAAAATACTGAGGGTGTTTCACAACTCGCGCCCCAGAGAAAAGGTAAGATACCAGGAAAAAAGAAAAAAATTCTATTTATAAAAATTTAGAAATTATAGGGAGTTAAAATTTTGCATTTTAACCCTATTTATTTCTGTTGGAAATATATTATTAAATGTTATTTTGCTGTAAGCTATTACAAGAGAAAACAAGGAAGCTGTATCCTAAATTGTGACTATGTTTAACGTAATTTGTGGCTTTTATTGGCAGAATTTTTATACTTTTACAATTTAAATAATTATGAAATAGTATATTACATAACGAGCACGGAAAGTGATAAATAACGCACAAGCGGGAAAGTTGCGCACGAGGCGTTAGCCGAGTGCAGACAATACCGCGAGTGCGTTAGACACTTTCCTGCAAGTTTTGTACACTATTTTTCCTACGACCATAAATATTTTTTTTCTTACGAACATATTTTTTTTTCACAACGATTTATTTTTTATAATGGATACAAAAATACGTTGAATAACGATTTATTTTTTATAATGGATACAAAAAAATACGTTAAATGAAAAAATATAAAACATTCGAGTGTGAATTGTGCGTTAGATTTCTAACACACAGTGCGAAAACAAATCGCACAGGTTTTCGACCTCCTACGATATTGCCAATTTWCGCGCATATGTAATTARGCGTTATGATCTAGTTTCGTATATGGTCGTAGGAAAAAACATGTACAAAGTCATCAGTAACACTATTAAATAGACATAAAAAATATCAAATGTGAAAATTTTTTGACAGATAGAATTTTTGAAAAWTTTTTTTCATGTGCCTGGTATCTTACTTGGCATTTTTCTGTGAGGCGCGAGTTCTGAAACACCTGTATATAATATAACCAATTCCAACATCACTAAAAAAAATATTGATACCAAAATCGGCTACAAAAAACAGGTAACTAATTACGTAAGAGTTATATTGTACGAGAATATAAGAGTATTTTAACTTACGAAATRGTAAATATTGTATTACCTTATGTTTCAAAAAAATTAAATTGTAAATCCAGAATACCTAATGCCATTCTTTCTTCAACGTTCTGATAATTAAGTATTTTTGTYTCTACTATAAAACCATTCAACTACACGACTTTCGACTATTTAGGAATTTATTTGGACATTAAATAGTGTATTTTTCTAAAAATGCTCGCGGGCCAATGGCAATTAAATGWTAAATACAAAAATGCAAAAGAGTATTAAAATCAAAAAAAAGTTCAGATCAAAATTTATTTGCTTTTTACTTTTTATCGTTTGTAGTTTTCTGAAACAATTTTTTTGGAGATCTTGGACTCGTTTATCTCGGCGTGTGCGCAAAGAAAATTTTTGTAAACACTGTATTTATGAAAAATGTTGACAAAACGCAAAGCCAGTGAGTGTAACTCACATTGGTCTCTGTATCTGGGGAGCGTGTTTGTTCTGTGGAGGGTGAGATTTCGGCATGGAGCACCCTCTGCAGTTCTAGCACCTATAAGCCACATTAGACCAACTAAAGACTACGACTACACGTTAGGCACATAGAAACCGGACAATTAGACACTTTTCATCGAGTGAATATTAAAACATCGAACGTACACAACATAAAAACGCCCCAAAATACGTTTCTAATTTTGAGGAAATGATATTTTGGGCCGTTTCACCTTTGGAAAACAAACAATAAATTCTCCAATCAAGCAATCGAAAACAAATGGAGGTGATGATTGAAAAGCTGAGTGAAAAATGGTGCAATGCAGCTACAGAACTCACTTTGCTGCTAGTTTCAGCAGGGTGCTGGGACGACTCACACGCCGAAGGGTCCGCATGGAGCACCCGCTGCAGATCTAGCACCTATAAGCCACAGAGTGACACCAAAAAGACAACACATTCAGCTACAAAACTCGAAAATAAATTGTTCTTCTTTATCGGGGTTAGGTTTGATGCGATGTGTTAAAAGGGACGATCAAATGGCTGACAGGCAGTAAGTATGAACACTTACCACTATTATAGTCTTGACTACTCACATTACGTTCTAAGAAGTTAAGTGTTTGTGAAGAGATACAACACTTACCGCATCCTAAAATGCAAACAACACCGTCATGCGGTATTACAACATAAAGCAATCCTGTATTTTACAATAAACGAGAAGCATTAGTGCAATGCTCGCAGGATAACATTAACATTCAACATTACGACGTTATGTTATTTTCGAGCAAGTGCTTAAACAGAAGCGCGGAAAATCGGCTTAAATTAGGACAGACGGGCTGAAAGCTTCGACGATTTTGTTTCAAAATAGGCGAACAAAATCGACGAATATTAAAGTTTCCACTAGACTAACGTGCTCCGGTACGTTTATTAAAAAACTGCAACGCTTTAGCTTTATTCAAAATTCTAATTACTCTTTCAAATTATTTTATCAAATATTGCTGAAACAACGTATAAATAAAAAAAAGCAATGTTGCACTTTTCTAATAGGAGGCTTTCATAAAATTAAGATCCACAATTATAAAACAAAATAAGTTTATTAATATTAAAGAATTAGAATTGTGGTTTCTGTTATCACTCTTTCTGGGAAAGAAGAGAATTATGTTTCAACATAGAAACAGAATGCTGTTAATTGCAATTAAATTTTAATTCGAGCTAATTTATCGTAATGTTTAATAATTATTTTGTATTATGCAAATACATGTTTTAAGAGTAATTGCTTTTGTTCTATCCTACCAAAATAAAAAAACCTAAAACAGAAGAACATAAATAGGAAGCAAACATAATTTTCATCCATAATTTTTTAAAAGCAAATTTTTCATGTACGATAAAAAAATTGTATTGATTGATTTAACTGCCTCAATCTACTCCACCTAAAAAGTTAAATTTAATATTAATAATTAAATCGAAGCTAAAAATGCAAGAAAAATAAGTTGAAGAAGTTACTAACTTGTCAACGACATTTTAGTTTAATTTTTTTTTTACACAGGGTGTTTCACATAACTTTACGAGGCTTGCGCCTAATGTACGCACCCAAATATACAAAAGTCACAGAACACTGGATACAAAAAATACACATTTCATTATTTAATTTTTGGAAATCCATGACAGTAGTTGTCAAACTAATCACTGTTTCATTAATAGTCATAAACTGCAGTTTTTCAGAAACAATTATCATTTGTTCTATAAAGAGACGGTATGAATATGATTGTAATGTATCTATTTTAATCACTAACCAACTAAAAACGTTGTAATTTTTGAAAGGGTGAACAAACTAGAGAAGATTATCCATTTTTTCAAAATTTGTAATCGAGTTCGTATCGGAATATGTATTATTGATTGCATCTTACAGGCTCAGGCCTCGTAAAATTATGTGAAACACCCTGTATAAAACAAAAAACACAATATTTTATTGATTGCTTAATCTTAATATACTTAAATTTCTTTTGAAAATGATGGAAATCGATCATTGTCATTAATAATGGCATTCAATGTAAAAAATGAACTTGGGCAAGAGAGCTGGATGAAAGAAAACTCCGAAAATTTAATAAAAAGAAAACTTCCCCACTTTTTATAAAAATGTGAAAAAGCTCAAGTCTTAAAACAAGTCCATTCTAATATTACTCTTAAAACTTTTTTCCTTTTAAGGAAAAAAAAAACAATTTTTTGCAAGAAAACACTAGCGTGGAAACTTGATTTCCTGTATTTTCCATACTTTGTGAAATTTGAAGAAGAGGAGTATAGGAACTTAAAAAGAGAATAATTGGATTGTTAGAGAACGAGATAAAAGGAAATTCCATTTATTTCTTGTTGTGTCATTTTTGTTTGAATTAAATTTTCGACTAGTTCAATGTATCTTAATTTTATAGCCCGCCCTATCGTACATTTAAAGTCGGATGCAAAAAAGAACAAAGAACAATTTAGTGCCAAAAAGCAGAGAAAACAGCTTTTTCGCTTTTAAAATAGATGATCCAAACTGAATCGAACATTTACGCAATTCGTTTCAGATTGGTACAAATACAAAGATAATACTCGTAGAACACATTCTAGGAAATCCTGTAAATAGTCGGTTGCAGTATATCTGGAGATTTTGTAATGCGGTCGTGTTTTAATTAATGCAAGGTATCCAGTGCGAGTGCTGTAACGGTTAAGGAATACTTTGCATATGAAAGTGAAAACAACTGTGCAGAGGTGCTTTTAAAAAAATTATTAATCAGTGCGTTGCATTTATGTCTAAGTTATTCCAGTTACGGGTTATGCCAGTTGAGTTTCTCCACGGACATTGCAAGAAAAATTGAAATCACGAAAAACTCTGAAAATTTTGAAAAAATAATAAATTTTGATTAAAAAGACGTGAGAACAAATAATTTTTTTGCAACATCCGTTGTTACCACTCCTGGAACTTTCTTTGAAAACTTACTTTCCGGGCGTTGGTGGACTTGAGGTCGGGCTGAAGGGCCATGTTGGAAAAGGGCACTTCCATGGAATATTTGATGGAGTGGAGGAGCTGAACCACGACGTTGGAGACGTTCTTGAAGCTGAGTTTGCGCCTCTGAGCCGCACCAAGAGCCGATCGGACCTGCAGCGTGTTGAACAAGAGTGGCTGGAAGAGATCCACCGGAAGGGCCGGGGAGGGCAGGTTAGTCACAAGGGTTAGATACAAGCCCGGTCTAACTACGTCGGATGTCCGGAAAGGAAGGGCGAGAGCCATGAATTTTATATCATCGTAAAAGTTGCGATAACCGGAAAAATTCCGGTGACGAATGTACTGCTATGTGTGTGTATCTTTCATATGTTTGCACATTCTTTTAAAAATGTTTTCAGCGTCTGCACAAGAAAAAATTCTCCAAATGTACGGAATTTTAAAAAAAACGAGAGCCAATTCCGAGGTTAAAAACTCGGAGATCTGTGGCTGAGTGGTAATTAATAGCTCAGCAGCTTCTTACAAAGCTTTGAAAAACATGAAGCAACCGAGGTCTTACACAAAGCAAATATTTATACGTACTTCAACACAGTCTTGGTTAATAAATTTCATTTTTCAGTGGAATTTATACTTAAAAAACTGAATAGTGTTTCTACGTTGACAAGATTTCAAACGGATCCAAAAGAAGAAGGTAAGCAAAAATCCTTAAATCTTATAACGACAGAAAATGTTCATCAGCAATAAAAAATACGTATTTGCATATAGCATTGAGTAATAATCAGATAAAGTTTTGAATATATTCGATAATAAATTTTCAACTGTTTATTTCAATCAATTGTGTAATTTGTAAAGCTGAACGGTTTAATTTTAACCAGATTTAACTAACAACATTTTTAAACAAATATTTAAGACAAAAAAGTTTTAGTATATTAAAAAATATATAAAACCATTACATTTTATTCAGTGACTGATTATTATGGAAGGTTTGACCATTTGAGATTCGAAGGAAACAAAGAAAGAAAATAACAGATTATAATAGGTAAGTAAGTACTCTAAAAGTGTACTTTATACTTTCTTCCCAAATTAAAAATAACAAAAATTTAAATATTCCTGAATAAGCATGTTTTTGTAAGCTTTAACTGTCTACATCTAATTTATTCATAATTATAAAAAAATATAGGTGTTTTTATTATTTTATTTTATATTTTTGCAAGAACTTTTAAGTGAAATCGTTGAGTGAGAGATTTTAAAATCCCTACTTTTTACAAGTTCATTTTTTAATTTTCTGAATAAATTGAGGCTTAATACAGCCATTATTAATTTTGGTTGATTTTTGCTCATTTCGCGAGTCCCATTTAACAGCCCTTCTGATTTAACCTTGGCCTCTACTTATAGGTAAGGTGTGAGATAGGTCAAGCAGATCGAAACCTAGTGAGGTAGGGTTTGTTTTTCTATTTTTAAGATATTACACATTGCTTTTTTAGTACGAAACGCACAAACACAATTAATTGGATTTTTCTTGGACATCCGACAATAAAAGCGCCTYATTAAAACTTCAATAAGTAATTGAATTCATACTCTGTGATAAAAGCTCTCATTGAAATCAAGCTTTCATCGAGTGAACCTCTTAAAGCTTCCAGGTCTTAATCCGTTTAATTAAACGCTTTCGGAAGAATTCACACGGTTAAATCAAACTTGTTATTGGTATGATAACACGAAAAAAACGTGCCACAACAAGAGATATGTGATAAAGTCGTGTGGAAGCTCAAACAAAAACTAGGGAGAGAGGAAGGAGTGCATCAACCGTGCAGAAAACAATAGACACATTGAAACACTGGATATAATAGAGGAGTAATGAAAACAAAAGATTATTCACGATACCTGGCGATACAAAACCAACTTTTCTTAGTTTTATTCGGTTTCAGCAGAGGAAAAGTTCAAAAGGTAAATGCACGTCAGGGATTGTGAATAATCGATAATTTGCGAATTGTCATACTTCCCTCACACTACAAAAGAGTGCATTTTTCATTTACAAAAATTACTYAAGAGAGAACTACCCAAGAATTTCGCTTTGCTCTGAAATGGCCAAACAGTGACGTGTTACACATTCATTGTGAGCGAAATTAAATTTCGAGTCAAATAAATTTATTGCTCTAATAGTAATCTATAACCTCTCCAATATTTCATCGCACAATAGCYAAAGCCCTAAATCTTGAACACCACAGGTTTAACAATACTTGAATATTTTCTCTTAAATATCACAAAATATTGKACTATGTATTTATTTCTTTAGAAAGTTTATTAATAATCCAGTCWACGAACGCTCAATACAGGGTTGTAAAATACATGACTGGGAACAGGATTTTTGACTTCAGGACTGTGTTTGTTGGAAGGCAAACATACTAAAAGTCACCAGTTCTCCGAGATAATCGAGACTAAGAGAAGCATCAGGAGAGTGTAGTTTTTGGCTAATATCTACGCGGTACGAAATGAAAGCTTTCCTACAATACCGTCTCTTCGTCTTTTTTGTGTCTTAAACAATTTTCGAAATATTCGCTACGAAAAATCGCAAACACCCTAAAAAAACAATTTTCTTGTCTCATTGTGCATCATGGTGCCTAAATCTCAAGTTTACAGAAAAGCAATTGTGACGAAATGTTGATTGTAGATTGTAAATTGTATTTTAGGTCTCTGCAGCWTGAAGAAAGCAGCCTTTTGCTCGTATTTTTTCGTAGCTCCCTCAAAAAATTGAGGTTAGGTTTCACTTCTTTCATGAAAATGTTCAGATTCGAAGATAATTTTCACTTCCGCATCCTCGTCGCCAATTTATGTTTGTTTSTAAGCACACAGAATATGTAAAACACWAACTTTTCTATTTATATTTTATGGTTCAGACCGCCACAATAACCACACATAACATTAAAAATTGGAATTATTTTGATGAATGAATGCAAATCCTAATTACAGAATTTCCATTTATTTTTGAAAGAATATAAAGTCTAAAGTGATTGGTTTCTCCATGGTTACTCACATTATAATAATGGCCGACTTCAAACGGACCAATCACATGAGTGCATTAAATTTTTGAATGAATCCAAAAATCTAACGTGATTCGTTTATTACAATATTATAATGGCCGACTTTAAACGGCCCAATCACAAAGCTTACAATTTTTACAACAGTCCTTATGTTAATTCGTCATTTCTTTAGAGTGCGATATTTGCTAGCAAATAACTCGAAAATAATTTGAGATACAAAAAAACTCGAGCAGACTATCTTGTACAACATTTAGCAAAAACGACACCCACTCTCAATGCAAACGAACAGGAACTTTTAGTACAACGTAACTTCCTCAGCTCTCAAGTCAAAAATTCTATTCTCGGTCATGCATTCTACAGTTTGTTCGTTATTGACTGGACTATAAGGTTTCAGTATTTTTATTTTTTAGCYYGTAATATATTATTTATATTGATGGTGTGAAACGCCACTGGTAGAAAGAATCAAGATGCATCGGTATGTAATTAATTTCCGGCCGTCTGTTACCTCCAAACCTCCATTTTTCGCGTTAACATCACCGTTGTGATGAATTTCCTCAGTGATGTGCAAATATAGACATGAGTAATGAACTTGTTACCCACATAAAATGTTTCATTACTTAAGCAAAACTAATCGTTATGTAGCTTTGCCACTTTTCTATTGTAATAACTAATTTGCATTTCGTGTACCTCAACAACGTTTACCCTTTTATTCATTGATTAGATTGCGACACGCCCTTTYTTAACAGGGCATGTAAACACGGCAGTAAATTGAAAAAATCGAMACGGATGTATCAATTATCTATCGATGCATCTCGCCAATTAGAGCGCCAWTCCAGAGCAGTTTGTTGTCAATGTAGACGTTACGATTGTTGTGTCTTCGTGATCGAGAAGTGACAAGTACCTTTCTCCTGCGAGCCGGTGGTACGATGAAATATGTGGTGACGCAGTGATCGCGGAGGTACTGATTTCGGGTGGCGCCGTTACCTGGTTCCACTTCGTATTCACCCCCGAGGTAGTCGAGGGTGGCTTGAGTGATGTGCACTCGCCTATACATAAAACAAATAGTATATTAAAGAACAAGTTTTATAAGGGTTGATTTGGCGCACGAATCCCAAGTTAGAAAACGAGCCGTAGGCGCCAATGCCATTATAAAACAAGTATTTTATGCTATTTTTTCTAATTTGAGCCCCCTTTTTTCTTATTTTAATTAAAAAAATATATTTTTTTGTCGCCTAGACAATTTTGTGTTAGTTGGTATCGGTTGGTAACACTCAGCACCCACCTGTTTTTTTGAGTCATTTCTGCCGTCTGTCATTAAAAATAAAATTCACAAATTATTAGTTATTAGTATTACAACATAATAATAATAAATAAAATATGAGAATCAGAATTTAGTTTGCATTCCGCCCGAAATTCACCAAATTGCTGAAGCAACAACGCAAAATTTGTTACCTGACAAGTCAGAAGCGACATCCAAAAACTAAATAACATTAAATTCATTAAAGTACAATGTGCTTTTATGGATAGCCATAAACGACTCCTACGGGAGACGTTAATAAACGTATTATAAACGCAAATCAGAAAAACAAAATTAACAACGAAGACCAAAAATGAAATTCGTTTAAGAGGGTTTACAGGTTTAAAAAAACCTTTAGCAGAAAAAAATAGCGCTAATTCCAATTCCAAAAAATTACATACTCGTAAATATCAGAAATTGTAATATGTAATCCAATATAAGATTTCTACAATCACTTCTTCGTCATTTATTGTCTTCCTAAAATTGAGAAATGAAATATGTATACTTCTTTTCATATTAATGTGCATCAAGTAGGTAGTAGAGATCTAAATGAATCTTTACTTTAAAGGTCGATTTACACAAAAAGTATCATTAATGTCATTCAGAACAAATTTAATCACATCAATAATGACAAAAAATGTTATGTTTGCTATCCTATGTTAACGTTGTTAATTTTAATCATTGTTTGCTACATGGGGTACACATTTATTTGAAAAAATAATTTTTAGGTAAGATTGAGTTTAGGACTGTTTGAATTTTAGCATGGTTGCTATGAATTTTACTATGGTGATCCCTTTCAACGACTACTTCGATGCACATTATTGTGAAAACGATTATATATGCCTAATATTTAATTCAAAATCACATCAGCTAAGATATTTTTATTATAGTGCGAAATGAAAAAAAAATCAAACGTACAAAGGCCTTTCAAAGCTAGAATACATGTGTTACTTAATTCAAAATATTAGGTAGATTTTGTTTAATTATTGTATATGTATGTAAAGTAGGTGACAACTGTAAAAAAATAAAACTTTTCAAATAAAATCTCGCAATTAAAAAAAAATGTAAGGCGAAAGTAGACATAGATTTTCCATACAAAATTTAAAATTATACTGCATTCTATTGCTATGCTGCTAAGAAAAAATGCTGTTACTTTAGCTGAATAATCTACGATTGGCAACAAACAGTGACCATCAGTAATAAATTTCTTATAATTTTCAAGTAACATCCAATATTTTTATGTAATAACACTCAAAAAATACAAAAAAAAAATGTGTAATTCCAAACCAAAACTAAAAATTCCTATAATTTACAGATTATGTGAATAATGCTGCATATTTTCAACTATATCAATCACGATANGGAGGTACTGATTTCGGGTGGCGCCGTTACCTGGTTCCACTTCGTATTCACCCCCGAGGTAGTCGAGGGTGGCTTGAGTGATGTGCACTCGCCTACACATAAAACAAAACAAAATTAACAACGAAGATTAAAAATGAAGAGGGTTTACAGGTTTAAAAAAACCTTAGCAGAAAAAATTAGCGCTAATTCCAATTCCAAAAAATTACACATACTCGTAAATATCAGAAATTGTAATATGTAATCCAATGTAATTCCAGTGTTTTCAAATTACTTGCTATAATTCATAAATAATTCCTATATTTCTAAATCAGTTTCTATCTACGATTTTAAATTGATTCTAAGTAATTCAATGTAATTTTGATATTTTACAAAATTCAAAGCTACACTTGTTTAAAAAAAAATGAAATTTTCAAATGTATTCAACCAAAATTTACGTCCTTTCTGGTAAAAAAGCTTTCTACAATCACTTCTTGGTCATTTATTGTCTTCCTAAAACTGAGAAATGAAATATGTATATATTTCATATTAATGTGCATCAAGTAGGTTGTAGAGATCTAAATAAATCTTAACTTTAAAGGTCGATTTACACAAAAAGTGTCATTAATGTCATTCAGAACAAATTTAATCACATCAATAATGACAAAAAATGTTATGTTTGCTATCCTATGTTAATTACGTTGTTAATTTTAATCATTGTTTGCTACATGGGGTACACATTTATTTGAAAAAATAATTTTTAGGTAAGATTGAGTTTAGGTCTGTTTGAATTTTAGCATGGTTGCCATGAATTTTACTATGGTGATCCCTTTCAACGACTACTTCGATGCACATTAATATGAAAACGATTATATATGCCTAATATTTCATTGAAAATCACATCAGCTAAGATATTTTTATTATTGTGCGAAATGAAAAAAAATCAAACGTACAAAGGCCTTTCAAAGCTAGAATACATGTGTTACTTAATTCAAAATATTAGGTAGATTTTTTAGCGATTTTGTTTAATTATTGTATATGTAAAGTAGGTGACAACTGTAAAAAAATAAAACTTTTCAAATAAAATCTCGCAATTAAAAAAATTGTAAGGCGAAACTTGACATAGATTTTCCATACAAAATTTAAAATTATACTGCATTCTATTGCTATGCTGCTAAGAAAAAATGTTTTTACTTTAGCTGAATAATCTACAATTGGCAACAGTGACCATCAGTAATAAATTTCTTATAATTTTCAAGTAACATCCAATATTTTTATGTAATAACACTCAAAAAATACAAAAAATGTGTAATTCCAAACCAAAACTAAAAATTCCTATAATTTACAGATTATGTGAATAATGCTGCATATTTTCAACTATATCAATCACGATAAAACTTTTTATGTTCTGATGCTAGAAATACTTAAAAGAAACAAAAAAAAAACTTAAAAAAATAAAATCAAAATTCATGACGCTGTTAAAATACAATCCATATAAAAATATAATTACAATTGTAAAAAAATAGAAGTAAACTTTTTTCGTTCGGTTTTTTGATTGCTTGATAATTTTTAAGGAGAACTAAATGAAAGATCGATTTGGCAACATATTTCCGCATTTTCAGTCCTATGAAGATTCTTTAAAAATTTTGTTTTGTTTTGCTCTTACTTGTAATGTGTAACGTAATGTAATTTTGTAACTTTGAAATTTCATGTAATACATTTGCTGCCCAAAAACATTAATATTACTTAAAAATAAACGTTTTGAAAAAGAAGAAATAAGTAAAAACAAAATGAGTTTATGTGTGTGCATACTTTTTTATGTTTTTCTCCTTAGAGCACTATGAAAATGCAAGCCTCCTATTTCCACTTTCCACAGGTGCGTTTTATCAGTCTATGCACCGTGGGTAGTAGTAATTCCAACTTTTCAACAGCATAAAACACTTTCCCAATAGAATATCGTCTAACATTAGCTTTTCGTGCTCCATATTCAACGAATTTTATTTTTACTAAACATTTTTAGATCTAAAGAAAACAGCTCAGACAGTGTGATGCCTAATAAATTACCGTTTTTTTTWAATCATAAATATTATTTATGTGGTTGCTTCTCCGACATAAAATCCAAATTRCATTTAGTTCGTARTAACTATTCAAGGCAGTTTGTYAGAAATTACTCAACATTTATCGACCACGTTGATCTGAATAACCTTTATAATGGATGATGAAAGTAATTCGGCAATTTATTGTACCATTTCGGGATTTCGTGACGGTAATGACAAGCAAAATTGCAAGTGGGTTTTTGTGTTGACAAGAACTTCATTATTCAGTYATAATTACATTATTCCTGGAACGAGAGTCACAACTGACAGATTTRTTTCTCTAATAAAATTTATCTCCAATTTTGGAGCATTTCTGAGTTATCCAAACAGTGTTTGAGCCATTATAACTTGTACAATAATCCCGTAATAGCAATTCAAARGATGTAGGGGCTAATCTTAACCATTGGGATGGTTTCAGTTTAATTTCTGCAACAATCCTGAAACCTCTCCATTACGAGTATAACCGAATCAATTAAAATAGGTTAGTCTGACACAAACCCGGATTTTTTCCCGGAGGAAACGACCTGAAATGTGACAGGCCGTCTTTTGCAGTTAATACTTTGAGAAAGGCGAGTTAACTCAACCATATTACAATCTGTTCAGTTACAAAAGGAAAGAAAGTTAGGCGAAGATTAAAGTGGAGTTTAATCAGCGTAGGAACGATGGTTGCTCATTTAAATATAAAATAGTGCAAAGAGACAACCGACTGAATTAACGATTTTAATTTATATTCATTTTATGTTGCTCGCTTTTAATTTGAATCACATTTTCCATAACTGAACTCGTATGAGGCAATTAAAAACTATGTAACTGTTCTTAAGCGCAAAAGAGAAATTAAAACAATTTCAGCTTCGAAAAGCTGCCTATTTTATCGTTTGAAACAAGAGACATGAATGTATTAAAAATTCAGCAGACATTTGGGTAATGGCCAAATAGACACCGTCACAAACAAATTAAGTGAAACATTTTCGTGACTTGTAATCACATAAAGAATATAAAAGATACATCAGTTTTAACAAAATTACCACTAAATTACTCGTAAATAAATAAACAAAAAACATGTTTGTGCTGATTCTTTAATTTGATTTTTTATTTTTTATAAATATAGAGACCAATAGTTTTTATTGATGAACGACTGACAATTGATTAGTTGTTTGATTAAACTACATACAAGCAAAAGCACGAATTCAATATTTTAACAATTACATAAATATTTTTAAATGTTTTATTAAAATTCACATTTTAACAGAACCCGTAAGTAAGAACTCTTTATAATCCTTTTTATTGGGACAAAAAAAATATTTTTCCCTTGAGTTGAAAATAAGTTAGTCGCGTTTTTTTATTCTTTATTCATTTAAATCAACGATGGTAAATAAGCAGCACAGGCTAAACACTTCAACTTCCATTTTTTTTTTACTTTAACCAGGACCGGACTGCGGTAAATTAGTCCTATGAAAATCAGTTGATCTAACCCTTATTTACTGTGTACAAAATGTTTTATATTTTTGTAGAAAAAAATTTATACTGTGATTCAGAATTTAGTAAACAAAAATGGGGAAACTTCATTTAAAAATTGATACTAAATAATATACAGTTCAGGTTAGAAAGTGGTCACTTCCTTACCCGTTGATGTAAATATGACAGTACATGTTGGGAATTAGCCATTTCCCAACTATAAAACTGATAAAGTAGTGACTACTTCCCAATCTGAACAGTCAATGTCTTGTTTTTTCAAAATTGCATAATTCTCTTATTGGCTTCCTTTCAAAATACCGTGCGATCAAATAAAAAATAAATTAGAGTAGGCGTCGATTAAATTCTACAGTTGGCAACACATTGGCTGGGAATCTGGGCTGGAAATTTTCCACACAAACTGAAAGTGAAAATGACCATCCACCGTTTTCCTCTTGTACAGCAATAAAAAATTTCTACTCTAAATTGAACATTATTTCAGTCAAAAGGAATAATATTCAAACTTGTCAAAGTTTCCGCTGACATTTGAAGTCAAAAATTAAGATTGCCATCTGAAGGACTTTAATCACCGCCTACTCTAATTTATTTTGATTTATTTTTTAATCGCACGGTATTATCCCCCTTTGTTTTTACATGTCTATACAAAATTCAAACTTTCAATAAACATAACATTACAAGTTACACAAAAGAATTTTAATTTAATCAACGCACAGATATTTTATAAAAATTAAGTTAACAAAAAATTGTTTCATTTTATTGTAAAATTTTGAAATATTTAGAGTAGGTTTATAGAAGAAGCCGAATTAAATATTTGATTGCAATTAAATTTAATTCGTTACGTAATTGGTTGAATTTTGATGAACAACCAATCACATTTCAGGATTTCGAAGTTAATCGCGATTAYCTTAATTTTGATWTAATTCACTTTCTGAAAACCCACCTTAGCCTTTAAGTAGTAATAGAAAAGTCGATTTTGCTACTTTAGTTAACAGGACTTTGCTCTATTATTTGATCAGATTTTTTTTATCATTTTCTTATACTTACAAAGTTTTATACACATAGAAGTGTTGTTTTTTAATTTGACATTTACAAAGACATTTTTTATCGTATTCTGCGCTTAATTTTCTATCTATTAAATAAGGTGTAATATACACGAAACGAATCCTAAATATCGAAATGAGAACTGCAAAAGGCTTTTCGGATGTACCTATATCGTAATGTATTTTATTTCATACTGTTTAAAAGTAAATTGCCAAAAAAAAATTGATTTGACGTTTTAATGTATCAAAAATCGCAATCCAGGAAGTGTTACTTGGTTACACTTAACAGCTCTGATATCGTAATAATTCCCTTCCCAGACCCAAAATGGGTCCGGAAAGTTTAATTTACCGGCCAGTATGAAATAAATGTTTATTATTTTAAAGATATACTTCAAATATCACAATTTTCTAATAAATTTTGTTAATTGGCTGCGAGTATTACTAGTTTTTTTTTAACATAGTAAATTGTAAATTAAAGCCCACTAACATTTGCAGAACAATTTAAAA